ACAAAAAGGAAAAAAAAAAAAAAAAACTTTCCAGGGAAGTGTACCATACATATAGAAAACTATACCAATCCTAAGTGTATAGCTACATACAATTAACCAAAATGAACAAAGCCAGGTAACTAACACACAGATCAAGAAACAGAATTTTATCAGTACCCCAGAATCTTCTTCCTGCCCTCTCCAGTCACTACATCCCACAAGGTAACCATATCCTGACTTCTAGCCCCCAAAATAAGTTTGACATGTTTTTGAGCATTGTGGAATCATACAGTATGAACTCCTTTGCCTTTAGCTTTTTTCACTCAATATTTGTGAAATTCATCCATATCATTGGGTATAGGTATGATTTGTTCATTCTCGTTGCTTTAAACTATTCCATCGTATGAATGGACTGTATGTATAATACCATACTTTGTCCGTTCTGTTGGTGGATATTTGAGTTGTTTCCATTTTTAGCTATTTCAAATAGGGTTGCCATAAACTTGTACAAGTCTTTTGGTGTACTTATGTGTGCATTTCTGTTGGAAATACACCTAGGAATAGAAGAGCTGGATCTAGGGCACATGTATATTCAACTTTATTAGATACTGCCAATAGTCTGCAAAGCAGTTGTAACAATTTACACTCTCACCATATCTCAGCATATGAGGGTTCCAGTTACTACACATCTTTGACAACACTTGGTGTGGTCTGTCATTTTCATTTTAGCCATTCTGGTGGGTGTATAGAAGTACTGAATTTTGGTTTTCTTTTTCTTTTGATACATTTTTGTGGACTACGTTTTGTGGGGTATTTTGTGTTGTTTCAGTACATGTGTACATTGTACAGTGATTCACTTAGGGTAGAGAGCATATCCATCACCTAAACATTTATCTTTTCTTTGTGGTGATTATGTTCAAGATCATCTTTTCTAGCCATTTAGAAATATACAATATAATATTATCAGCTATAATCAGTCTAGAACATCAGAACATAGTCTTCCTAACTACCTGTAACTTTGTACCCATTAATCAAACTCTTTCCCACACCCACCCCTGCTTCCTTTCCCTTCCTAGCCACTGATAACTATTATGCTACTCTCTACGTCTATGAGAACCACTTTTTTTTAACCTTTTTTTTAATTGTGGTAAAATATATGTAACATAAGAATTGCCACTTTGAGCATTTTAAAACATACAGTTGCATGAATTACATTCACATCGACGTGTAACCACTAACACTACCTATTTCCAAAATTTTTTCATCATCATAAACATAAACTCTGTACCCATTAAGCAGTAATTTCCCATTTTTCCTCCCCAGTTTCCAGTACCTTCTAATCTACTTCTGCCTCTGAAAATTTTTTCTTTGTAATTTATTTTTTCTTAATTGACTCATGATAATTTTATATATTTATGGAGTACAATGTAATATTTGGGTATATTTTTACAACATGCAATGATCATTTCAGGGTATTTAGCATATCCATCATCTCAAACATTTGTCACCTCTTTGTGTTGGGAACATTCAATAACCTCTCACCTAGCTACCTGAAATTATATAAATTCCTGATGACTGATGAAGTCGTGTTCCTTTTCACATGTTTATTGGCCATTCAAATATCTTCTTTGTCAAGTGTTTATTATTTTTTTACCTGCTTGATCTATCAGTTTCTGAGATAGATATATTAAAATTTCCCACTGAATTTGTGGATTTGTGCATTTACTGTAGTGCTTCTGTCAATTTTTGCTTTATAAATTTTGAGGCTTTGTTGTTAGGTTTGTACTTGTTTCAAGTTGTATCTTTTTGTAAAATTATTCCTTTATGACTGTTCTTATTAGTATTTTTCAAAACTTTACACCCATTTTGCTTAATGCTAGTATTATTTTACCAGCTTATATTTTGTTTCACTTGTTTTTTTTACATTGTGGTAAAAAACATGTAAGATAAAATTTACATCTTAACCATTTTTAAGGGTATAGTGCAATAGTGTTGAGTATATTCACATTGTTGTAAAACAGATCTCCAGAACTTTTTCATCTTGCAAAAATAAAACTCATACCCACTGAACTTCTCCCCATTCCCTCATTCCCCTCGGTTTTTTTGTTAGTATTTGCTTTGTATGTCTTTTTCAATCTCTATCTTTTCAGCTTTTCTTTCATTATACTTTTTGTGTAGCTTTTATAAAGAGCTGTTTTTTGTTTTTTTAATCTAATTTGCAAATCTCTTTTAATAGTCAAGTATAATCTGTTTGCATTTACAATGATCACTGTTGTATATTTTTACAGTCTTACTCTGTATTTTCTATTTTCCTTGCTTTTTCTTTGTTTTATTTCCCCACTCCTGCCTTCTATTTTCTTCCTTTCTTTTTTTCACTCTGCCAGTATGGAAGTTATTCATTCTATTTCTGTCATTTAGTGTTTGCCTATCTGTTTTTTAACATGTACACTTAGCTTAACAAAACCTACAGATAATCATTACCTCTTACCTCCCCCAGAGAAAAATAATAGCTGTGGAATGATTTAACTTTGAACTATCCTTTCCCACCTCCCATATAAGTGTTGAGTAATATTTTAGTTCTTCCTTATTTTAAGACCTCAAAAAGTTAGCCATCATTATCATTACAGAAATCTTTACTGGCAGTGTTGCCCAGTATTTTTTCTCACCATTCTTCCTCACACCTCCTACCTCCTTTCCTGGCTCGTTTTCCTTCTTGCTGAAGTACATCTCTGAGTAGCTCTTTCACAGAGGATCTGTGACAGGTGAACTCCATCTTAGTGTATGTCTGAAAACATCTTAATTTTATACTCACTCTTGAGGAAGTCTTGGATGGTGACCTGTGCTAGCATCCCTACAGAGAGGTTTTAGTTTTTTCTCTGCTGGGATCCTATGGGTTTCTCACTTTTAGTCTAGTTTTCATGTAATCTTTCTACCTGGGATTTGTATACCACATTGGTAATGTGACTTGAATCCCACACTTGCGTGTGTTGTGGGATTGAGATTCAGATTTCTATTGGGTTATTCTTTTTTTACCTATGGCCTGAGGTACTTAGCAGCTTTCTTTCAACTAAGTCAGTAGCAAAGTTTGTAGACCCTATTTCAAAAATTGGTCAGCCTTTGAGGGCCCACCTTTATGCATTGTTCTCAGTTCCAGTTCTCTCCATCATGGGCCTCAGACCTCATCTGTTCAGGAGAGGACCACTCTGAAGGTCTCTATCTGGTGCCAGTACTGCTGCAGGCCTTTGGGCTCAGCTCCTGCTTACCCTCAGGCTTTGAGTCACATTTGTTTATAGCACTTAAGGATTTTCCTTTATTGCTTTTGAGTTCTCTGTGTATTAAATTATTTTTGCTCTGTTTTATTGAGCATTTCTATGTGTTCGCTGTTGTGTGAGGCACTCCCTTGTTAACCCTGTCCAGCATATTGACCTGAAGTGACAGTCATCTTTTTGAAGCTTGATATGTTTTTTCTAATCCCTCACTTGATTTCTGTGGACTTGTTAGCACTGCTTCATTTATTCATCCAACAAATATTTGTTGTGCATAATCTTGTGCTAAGAGCTGGGGATACCGTGGTGAGAAAGATGTAATGTCTCTTCCCTCATGGAGTTTACTATTCTAGTTGGAGAGACAGAAAACTTGTAAACAAATAAATAAAAATGTTAACTACAATTCATGAAAGTGCTGTGAAGAAAATAGAGAGATGGAGAGTAACTATTTTGCGGTTTACTTTAGATAGAACATTCAGGGAAGGCCTCTCTGAAGAGGTGACATTTAAGCTGAGATCAAAAGGACGAGGAGAGGCTAGCTCTGCAAATAGTGAGGGGCTTGTTTGGGGTTGGGGTTAATTCCAGGCAGTGGAAAGAGCAAGTACAAAGAACCAGAGACGTAGGAACACTTTTCATGTTAGCATTACTGAGATGACGCCACATGGTTCTGATGAGAAGAATGCTCCCAGTGAGTCTAGGAAGGCAGGGGTCGTCCTCCACCTCTCCCCTTCCTCTGTCACCTTGCCACACTGATTCTTTCCCACATGTGCCTATGTAAAGCCCTGCTCACTGTCTCGGTTCCCATGCACTTTGCCTTTGCTACTTATCAGCGTGTGATATGGATCATTGCTTACATGACAGCGTTCTCCAGTAGACCTTAAACTTCTATGAGAACACACATCTCATTTACCTTTGTCAACCCCAGCTTGCTGAGCACAGTGCTTTACATGGTAGGCACATCATAAATGTTGATTGAATAAATGTATTTTTTTTTTTTAGCAGTAAATGCTTAGTCTTCTTTCCAATAACTCTGTAACAGAACTTCTCACAGATAATATTTTCATGGTATCTAAACCATCGGTGTGAAGAAAACCAGCAACCTAAGGAAGAATTTGCTTAAGACTCATCTGTGATATTGTAGAGGATAATTAGGGGAGGTACTAGAGTATGTTTTTACCCTATAGTGGATTGAATGGTGGCCCCCAAAAGATATGTTCACATCCTAATCCCTGGAATCTGTGAAGGTGACCTTATTTGGCAAAAGGGTCTTTGCAGATGTAATTAAGTTAAGGATCTAGAGATAAGATTATACTTGAATATTTGAGTGGACCCTAAATCTAATGACAAGTACACTTATAAGAGACAGAAAAGACAGAGACACAGAGGAGAATGCCACGTGAACATGGAGGCAGAGATTGGAGTTGTGAGTGACAAGCCAAGGAACGCCTGTAGACACCAGGAGCTGAAAGAGGCAAGGGAGGGTTCTCCCCTAGAGCCTTTAGAGGGGTACAGCCCTGCCGACACCTTTATTCTGAACTTCTGGCCTCCAGAACCGAGACAGAACACATTCCTGTTGTTGTAAGCCACTACTTAGGAAACTAAGTAGTTAAACCTCACATCTTCTGTAACACAGATATAATAATAGCTTCCTTAGAGGCTTACTGCCATGATTAAATGAGACATGTATGTAACTACTTAGCACATAGTAAATGTTCAAAAATAGTAATGGCTGTTTTTGTTCTTCTTGAAGGAATGGGAGTTTTCTTTCTTTTCTGAATAACATCGACAATAGAGTGGGAAATTTCTGTCCTGCGATTGCCTGGTGAGTCAAAACTCATACCGCGGATTTAACCCGAGAGCATCTGCATCTGCTTTGGCCCTGGAGCTCCCAGGCCCTGGTGCTTTCAGCAGTGTTTAGTCAGGGTTTTATATTGAGGAAGAGTTCAGCTTTCTACCATGGGTGGGGGAAGAAATTAAACTGGAACTCAGAAACCAAATCTGAAATGATAAACACGGAGCAGAAAGCAGGCTCTCAGTCTCTGCCGAAAAGAAAGGTTTTGGATTCTAAATTTCTAGTTCCCATTAAGGGACTCTGGGACTGGACATTTCTGAAAATTAATGACCTGTATTGAGTAGTCCTCCTCACACACCAATCATCAAAATTTTTCCCATAATGAGTTGGGCTTTCTGTATATGTCTGAATGCCTTCACAGAACCTGGGCGTGTGGCAGGAGGGCAGCAACTGGAGCTCAGAGGACACCAGATCACAGGGCAGTGGCCAACCCAAGGCACGGGCCACTGCTGCTCCCCCCGCAGGATGGCTGGCACTGTGCTCGGAGTGGGTGCTGGCGTGTTCGTCTTTGCCCTGCTCTGGGTGTTGGTGCTGCTGCTGTGTGTGCTGCTGTCCAGAGCCTCCGGGATAGCCAGGTAAGGCATTCTGTCCAGCTGGGAGTCCTGGGTAGGAACAATTAGAGGCAAAATTGCTGACACTCATTAAACATTTAGAATTCAGAAGATCGTTTCTATGATTACTGACAGTTTGAGTGAGTTGCATTTTAACCTCTTATCATAAGCACTAACTGTGTTATTTGTGCTCTGAAGCAGAGGAGGGAGGAGAAGGGAAGTGGTATCTCTCAGGTCTCACTGTGCAGGAGATGGGGGACACAAGAGGTGACAAATTCTGCTTTCCCGCCTATTGAATTTCTTGGGGTTGTGCATGAATGCTTCTTAATTGTTTGATTTATGGCCGATGCTCAGTCCAGTCCCTAAGGTTCTAGATCTGGGCCCAGGGAAACTAAAGAAGCATTCAGTGAGTTGGGCTGGCTCTATCAGGCATTGACTTCAATCCTGGACTAGGCCATCCCCTGACTCTGAAAACACTATAGCATGGCACTCTAGTGGCAGTGTCAGTAGGGAGTAGCTACAGAACTTAATACCATATTCTGGTCTGAAAACAACAGAAATAAGGCTGGGGAGTGGCTGCTTTGGGTTTTCTTGATTATGACTTTGTGCAGAAGCAAAAATAAAAGTTACAAATTCTCATTCTTTGGCATTTGGAATTACCAGGAATAAATGGCAGTGCACTCAGCTGCTACCTGTCTAGAAAGAAGGACTTTGGGGAGAAGGGGGTTAATCATCTCTAAATTCACTAGGCAATGTAGACAGCAGGTCTCTGGCATTGTTAAGGGACTGAAACATAGAATATTGGCCTGAGGGAAGAGCCAGTCCAGGCCTGATTATAGAAGAAACCATAAACAGTGCTTTTAATACTTTGTCTTTTTGACCCAGGTTCTCTGTCGTTTTTGTATTCCTCGCTGCTGTGATCATCACATCAGTTCTGTTGCTTTTCCCCCGAGCCAGTGAATCTCCAGCCGCAGAGGTCGAAATTAAGGTAAAGCTACTGATTTCATTTTGCGTCCTGAGTTGTATAGTTCTTGTGCCTCTTGGTCTAGACCTCTTTCCTGCCCTGTGGGATGTCAGGTTGCCTGAGCTGTGTTAGAATTATAAATTTCAAACAGCGATGGGGAAAGCTCAGAGTGAGGTTGAAGTTCCCTTGCCTTTCTGCCCGGGACTGCCCTGTGGGATGTCAGGTTGCCTGAGCTGTGTTAGAATTATAAAGTTCAAACAGCGATGGGGAAAGCTCAGAGTGAGGTTGAAGTTCCCTTGCCTTTCTGCCCGGGAAAAGACTCTTACTCTGAAGCCCACCTGCAACACCACCAGGCAGCTATTTGCCTGATTTGGTCTCATCTCCAGTTTGAGTCAAGTTGAATGACAATGTATCAAAAAGGCAACTCATACTATAGGGACAGAGAAAAAGAAAGAGTTAGGACTAGGAATAGGCTTGCTCCTGAAATGGAAGTGTCCCATTCCTGGGAGCCTTGGCTCAGAACCTCAGATCCTGGGCTGAAATTTATGCTGTGCCCTCAGGGTGCTGAGTGATGTACATTTCCATTTCCATTTCCATGTGGTGGAATTTTTCCACTTTTGATGTGGAGGAAATAATCTCCATTGAGAAGAGCAATGAGGAAAGAGGAACATTTCTATGGAAAGCAGAAGTTGTAGATAGAAATGAATTCAGTCATAACAGTCTCCTGGCAGTTCCTTTGGTCCTCATTCCTAGGACCACATCTGCGAGAACCCATCTCTTTAATTGGACTTTTATCATCTCTCTTATGTCCATTTCTGGAGACCTCACCTGTTCTGATTCATTCCTGATTTGGGGCTCTGGCTTTACCACACATGGTTGTAGGATCTTGAAAATGGTGTGGTGTCTTCTGTTCCATTACGTTCTCATAGCTTCTTTCCTTTCAACTCCATTTTAACTTTTTAAGTATTAGCGATGATAATAGCTATCGTTTTTTAGGGGAGTTTACTGTATGCTGGGTCCTACGCTGAGCACGTTGTTTGCATTATCTCATTTAAAGCTCAGGACAAGCCTAAGTGGTATGAGGTAGGTGCTGTTCTTATCCCCATTGTGTAGGTAAGGACACTGAGGCTGTTAGAGGTTAAGGTAACTTGCTAAAGGTCATACATATACAGGAAGAGGCAGAGCAAGGATTCAAGCTGAGGTCTTCAAAAATCTTTATCCCAGAGAGCTCATGGGTTACCATTTTGACACTAGACAATAGTACACAAAATTATATAACTTTTGAACTAAAATTGACACTTCCAGTTCTGTATAGGACCAACCATGGCAAAAGGGAAGAAATTAGTTCTGAAAGCTCCAAGGAAAATATCACACAAATTTAGGGAACTATTTTCATAGATACCACATTTTTTTGTGAGCATTTAGAAACCACTCAGGTGTAAGTATCACATGTGTGAGCTAGGGGTAAATTCTTGCCTCAGTTTCCTTGTCTTAAGGGGGCAGAATGATGTAGGCTGCTGTTTTTCTGGATTGTTGTAGATGTGAATATTAGAAGAAGGGCACAGAGCAAACACTGTTTTGAAATCAATCCCTCTGTTCTCTGTCATAGGAGTTTCAGACCCAGGAGAGAAAAATGGGGTTTGAGCAAAATGCATTGGTCAGCATGGCCAGTGGAATTGGAGTTCTCATTGTCAGGTTTTGAGAGCTCGTCCCTGAAGCAGCCTGGATCAATGCTGTATCAATAATACATGGCCTGGGCCTTCTGTACCCAAAGCCTGCTAATTGCCTAATTAAAAAGTGAAACATGTTGAATGAGCAAACATGTAGCCCACAAGAGATTTGTTCAGTACCGGAGCCAAGGTCAAAGTTATGTTAAAGCTGTTGTATCAAACTGACCTTTGTCATGAGTTGACTGTTGGGGTAATCTCCGGAGCAGCTGGGGGTCCTGCAGCCTTTTTCTTCTTGGTGTCTTTGGATCTCAGTGATCAGGCCAGTGCTTGGCTTAGATAAGTGCTTTGTGTATCGCCACTGTGTTCTCTATTTTGCTGTAACAAACTATTGCAAACTTAGTGGTTCACAACACAAATTTATTTTCTTACAGTTCTGTAGGTTAGAAGTCCAAAATCAGTCTCACTAGGCTAAAATCAAGGGTTTGAAAGGGATGTCTTCCTGTCTGGATGTTCTAGAGGAGAATCTATTTTTTATTTATTTATTTTTTTACCTTTCTCAGCTACTAGAGGCCACCTTTATTCCTTGGCTCGCAGCCCCCTTCTGCCAGCAACATGGCATCTGTCCAACTCTGCTTCCATCCTCATACCTCTTTCTGTCTCTTCTATCTCCCTCTTTAACTTTTAAGGATGCTTGTGATTACATTGAGCCCACCTGGATTGGATAATCCAGGCTAATCTCCCTATCTTAAGGTCAGCTGATTAGCAACCTCAATTTCATCTGTAACCGTAATTCCCCTTTGCCATATAATGTAACATACCCATGATTTCTGGGTATGAAGATATGGACATGTTTGGGCCATTATTCTGTCTGTCATAATCGCCTTTCAGGTATTTTGGATTCTTTTCTATAGCCACCGGGCCGGCCCTTGGATTCTTTTCTAGATACTGGGTTTTCAAAGCTTCTGTGAAGTCAGCCAGCCACTTTATTTGTGTTGCTGCTCCATTAGGTCTGTAGATTAAATTGCTTTTGCCTGCCCATATTTAAGCATCGCCATTAGGATCTGGGGAGAGTGCAGCTCTGGCAGTGGACAGCAGACAAGTGGGCAGAGCCAACACCAATGATAGGTTTTTGTCAACAAAGACCAACAGCTCTGGGTCCTCAAGTATGCCTGGTTTCTGGGCAGCCAACGGTATGATCTGGGGCAAGTTACCTATCCTCTCACCATTTTAGTATCTCAGGTGAATGGCCATTTTTCCTATCCCTTGGAATGCTGGGTAACCAATGTTAGGGTTCAAAACTCTTCTGATGAAGGTTTAAAGAATCACCTTTTCATTTTGAAAATGAACCCTTCTGAATTGGAAATGGGTTGATAATTTGGGGGGTTGGGTCTTAGGTACCTGGGGTTTTATTATACTATTGTGTTTTTATGTATGTTTAAAATTCTGTTTAAAGAATCACCTTTTCATTTTGAAAATGAACCCTTCTGAATTGGAAATGGGTTGATAATTTGGGGGATTGGGTCTTAGGTACCTGGGGTTTTATTATACTATTGTGTTTTTATGTATGTTTAAAATTCTCCATGATAAAAAGTGTTTTAACAACAACAAAAAAGAGCCTTTCCAGAACCAAGCAAGCAAGGAAGCAAGTGTCTCATTAACTCTTTTGGTAACTGATTTCAGAACATAAAAGAACTCATCCAAGGACTTCAAAATGTTTATGAACCTCCTAAATTGAGTCATTTTTTCCCCGTAGCTCATTAATCCTTCCTTTTCCTTGTATCTCCTGCTCAGCAAGTTGAGAAAAAGACTCTTCCTTATCCATTTATAGAGGAGACTTGGGGCCAGATGTTACTAGAAGTTACAAATAAGAACAAACTCTTGGCCCATTTATCACGAGGTAACACGGCCAGGGTGCTGAAGTGGTAGTGATTTCATTTTTGTGATTTCTTCCTCCAGATTGTGGATGCCTTTTTCATTGGCCGCTATGTCCTGCTGGCCTTCCTCAGTGCTGTCTTCCTTGGAGGCCTTTTCTTGGTCCTAATTCATCATGTTCTGGAACCTGTCTATGCCAAACCACTGAGGTCCTGCTGAGCACTATGTGGGAAAACCAAGACCCTGTCCTCTTCTTCATTTTGATGTCACTGATGAGCAGAAAGGCATTATTCAGAAACTCCTGTTGACAGTCTTCATGCCCTAAGATAGAGGAATATCCATTCATTGCAAAGACAAATCTCTTGAGTCCTGATTTCCAGAAACAGGGTTGCAAATTGTCCCGGGGGAGGCGTGGGTAAGATTCCCACCAGTGAAAAGGGATATTGCTGTCTTCTTAGTAAATCTACCTCAGGATTTCCATCTGTTTTGAAAGGAAAATAGTAACAGTAATCGGCTTAGAGTAGATTTTTCAATCAAGTTGTTAGTAAGTGGATTTTGGGGAAAGGAGCACTTTGGCTTCTGCTGTTCAATAAAAGAACCTGGTCCGTTTTGATAATAGGTAAAATTCTTAGTTTTAAGGTTGGAATCATTTGTAAAGGAAAGGCACTCAGATTCAAAAGGTTATTTTGTGTTTTAATTTGGAACATTTACTCAGATGTTTATTATTGACTGCTCTATGCATATAATTCCACAAAACTCTATATAGGCAATGGGTGTCACTCCCCTCTGCTCTACTAAAGCAGTAAACAACAAACAAAGGGCTGATTTTCACTTCAAATTCTTGGTTACAGCTTTCTGAATCTAGTATTTTTATATTTCAGGTTTGCTAGGGAAAGGTATGGAAATGTTGACTGCAGCCATGCATCTCTGGGTCCTTTTTCTTCCACGATTCTGTGGCCTCTGTGTGCCTTATTTATTTACATAAGAGTCCATTTTGGGTTATTGTCCTCTCTTTTCATCTTTGTAGCCCTTTCTCCAAAGCTAGTGAGGAATGTATATCCTCAGCATTAGATATAACTTTATTCCTGCCTGACCTCCCAGACCAAGTGAAATTTGGCATTAAACAGAGGGGCTCTTGAGAGTGTGGTATGGGGCACCCCTATAATCAGTGTCCAGTATGGTACCCCTTATGCTCATGGCCTTCCTGGAGACAAGGCTCAGAGGTCATCCCTTCAGTGCTAACAGAAATCTTCTTAGTGTTCCATTAACCATTTTTCCATCATGGCCTTTTGAACAGGTTGTGCCATACAGTTTCTTACCCAGAGGGGATCCTGTGGCAGAGACTGTGGTGATCTCCACTGTTTAGAAGGTGGGAAAAGAGAGTAAAGTCAGATTTTTGTATAAGAAAACAGATTGTTTCATAGTCTCTTAAAATTGTATCCTGACAAAAGCTAAATTAGAAGGACACCAGCCTGCCCCCACAATAGAGGTATTTCTCCCCTCCGTTAAGTGGCCTGTGTGCTGTGGTTTAGAAGTTTCTCAAGCCAGCAAAACACTACTGGGTAATTTTTTGATAAGTGCCTTAAATTTCTCACTTATGAAAATGGAAGTAAAGCTAACATTCTTTGTTGGTACACAGTATCAGATATTTAATGTAAAACTGCCTCAAAATTATTGTACCAGCATTCAGGCACTAGGAAATGCATAGCCATTCATTCATGCAGAGGACATATACTGCCATTCACTCCACGTTTATTATGTGCCTCTTGGGCATAAAGCCCTGGTCCCTGTGGAGTAAGCCAATGGAAGAACTAGGCCCTGTGGTGTCTAGCCATCTTCCTAACTCCATCCGGGGATGAAGGCATCCAAATTATTTTAAAGTGTTTTTATTCTAACATAAAGGAATCCATTTATTGTTCTGTTCTTTAAGACATAAACTTTTCTATCAAATTTCATTGCTGCTGTACCTGAAGCATTTCTGTTTTGTTTTCTCTTCAGTGTGTAAAGAAACCTGCTGCAATTATTTTATGGATGAGAAACAGGCAGAGAGAAGGGATTTAAAAAGTTTCACAGCTAGTTAGTAGTGGGGCTCAAATTGAAATCCTCATTCCTGACTTTCCCAGATAGTTTAAGGATAGTTTCTCAGATAGTTTAAAGATCACTTGGTTTTCAAACAACTCCTTATTTTTACATTGATTAATACTATTTCTTAGCTATTTTTATCAACCATTTCCCTAACTCACGTCCCAAAAGGTAAAAGTTTCATTAAAGAATTCTAATTAACATTTATAGTATAAATAAGTATTTTATCATAACTCCTTAGCTTAAACATGTAAGTATTTGGCTGTTGTTACATAGAAACAAATTTCCAGGTGTGGGAATCAGAATTGTATGGAAACATCTGGAAAAGTGTTGATTATCCTCATAGAGCATAAAAACTCAGCATTGGAAGGGATTTTATAGTTCATAGAGTTCAATCTTTAATCTTTATTTCCATCTAAATACTTGGAAATAAGTCTAGTCTTCACATACTGAAACCACAATTTTTATTACATTTAGCAAGCTTGTGCCAGGCATTTTTCTAAGTGCATCGTAAGTACTAACTTGTCGTCCTCATATCAACTCTGTGAAGCAGGTTCTCAGCATCCCCACTTCACAGATGGGGAGCAGGCGCAGACTGGTGAGGTAATTTGCTCGAGATCACGCAGCTAGGGGCAAGTAGGAGTGAGGATTTGAAGTCAGGCAGTTTGACTTCAGGGTCCAAGCTCATAACTACTTCATATACTCTAGGTTGCTCCAGTAGATGGAAACAAAGGAAGAGGAGGGACCAAGGTCAGGCAATGCAGATCTACTAGATAGAAATACGAGGAGCAGCAGCTCAGTCCAGTGGAAAACCCAGAATCGATCTTAGGAATTGGGCAGGAGGCTGGGACCCAGCGGTGAAAAGGCACGTGGGACCTCAGAGACAACTTCACCAAGTAACCCTGTGTTTTGGGCAGATCTCTGCTTGGTTAAGACTTTGTCTTCCTGCTTGCTTACAGATACTAATCTGGAGCAGCTAGTAGAGTTTTCAAGAAGGACATGAACATCAGTCTTTCTTAAGCACTGTCCACCTGGAATGCTGATACTTGGATTGGTTTATGGGGGTGCCAAGAATCAAAATCACAAGTGAAGAATTTCTTTTTTCCTTGATCTCTGTCTTTAGCAGATCATTGGTGGTTGCTGTTTACTTGAGGCAAACAATGTTGCTGAGTCCCTGCACTCCACCTCCCACCCCAACACACACCTCTTTTCTTAGTTTCCTGGGACTTAAGAATGACAGCTGGGATCCAAAGCAGGGCTCAGTAGCACAAACAGAATAAGAAAGTTCGTTTTGATGGTGATGGTTTTCATCACAGCATGTTGGGTCTTGTAAAGGATGTGCATTTATCCCAGGTCCTGCTCTCAGAGGACTCTCAGGAGTCACACACGTAACATTTACCTTGTACCTAAATGTTACATGGCCGTCACCTCCATTTATTATAAGCTTTGCAGATTTCTTGTTTTCATGTGGTTTTTCTTTTTTCCCTGTCTTTCAATTGGTTGTGCCACAGTTTTACACTGGGAATATGTATGTTTCCTATTGCTGCTGTATCAAACTATCACAAACTTAGTGGTTTAGAGCAATACAAATTTATCTTACAGTTCTGGAGGTCAGAACTCAGAAATGGGTTTTATGGCCTAAGTTAAGTGTTTAGAGACTCTAGGGGAGAATCCATTTTCTTGCCTTTTCCAGCTTCTAGAGGCGGCCCACGTTCCCTGGCTGGTGGACCCTTCCTCATCTTCAAAGCCAGCAGTGTATCATGTCCCAATCTCTGACAGTCCTGCCTTCCTCTGTGATTTATAAAGAGCCTTGTGATTACACGGGGCCCAACATGATAAGCCAGAGTAGTCTTTCCATCTCAAGATCCTTAATCACATCTGCAAAGTCTCATTTGCCATGTAAGGTAACATTCTCTGGTTCTGGGAATTAGGATGTGGACATCTGGCAGGGGTGGGGTGGGGGTGGCCATACTGCCTACCACAGAATATATGGTCCCATCTTCCACTTCTAAGGATTGCCTTCTTCTACTCTCCATCTTCTGTCCACCTGAACCCCACCCTCTGTGTACAAGGACTGCCTACCACAGAATATATGGTCCCATCTTCCACTTCTTAGGATTGCCTTCTTCTACTCTCCATCTTCTGTCCACCTGAACCCCACCCTCTGTGTACAAGGTCTGCCTCTTTCTCCACTTCTAAGGATTGCCTTCTTCTACTCTCCATCTTCTGTCCACCTGAACCCCACCCTCTGTGTACAAGGTCTGCCTCTTTCTCCACTTCTAAGGATTGCCTTCTTCTACTCTCCATCTTCCATCCACCTGAACCCCACCCTCTGTGTACAAGGTCTGCCCCTTTATCCACTTCTCAGGATTCCAGCAGCAACTCTCCCTACCCCCACACCCACCCCAACACCCATTGAGTCCCTTCCCCCAACCTCAGTCTTACTGGAAGCCTCACAGTGCTAAGATCTACCCAGAGCTTCTTGCCCTTTCTTTTTATTGCTCTTTGCCTTCTCCTCCCCCAACCTCCCACACACACACACCCTCCCAATGGATCTCTAAAGGAGAAACGGGAAGAGTTACTGTTTTTTAATTACAAGTGCTATTGTAACATCTATAAGGAAGAACATTTTAAGCTTAATTGAGACCAAATGTGAAGTTAAATTAAATGAATAACTAATTAACGTAGTGCTCCTGCATCAGCCCCGTGTGAGTGCTGAGGCCCGGAGAAAAGGCAGGTAGCAGGCCCCTGGTGAGCAGTCAGTGCCCACAGCTGAAGTGGGACCAGGAACCTGGGGCTTGAAAGGTGAGTGCAAAATGGCAAATCTCAGGGCTGGGTTCCCCCCACCTCTGATATTTTTCCCAGACGTCCACCCATAACCAAGTCCCCATGTCTGAGCCCAGGCTCTGAGCTCCCACACTGCTTATCTGCTTATCTCTCGTTCGCGCTTATCTGCTGGTGGGAGTGACGTGTCCTATTCATTTTCCAGTCCCTACTGCATACCATAGTAGGGGCTTGAGGAGTATTCCTGTTAATGTCTTCCCTCTTCCACTTCCCCTCACTATCTTATCAAATAGTCATCCAAGCCCTGTGATTTCTTCCTTCGTAAGCTGTTCACATGGCTTCCTCCGACTGCTACCGGAATGGCTCTCCTGCCAGCCCTCTCCCTTCGTAGCTGGACTAATGAATGGCCTAGCTCTCAACCTGGGGCACTGTCTCCACTTGTTTTTCCTGTATTGTTCATAAAAATTTTCATATTCCTATCCTACTCTTTTTTTTTTTTTGTCTTTTTTCCGTGTCCGGCAACGGATCGCAACCCTCAGTGTTGCCCCCGTACCGGACCGGGGACCGGTAACGGGACTGACTGCAACCCTCGGTGTTGCTCCCGTGCCTCACTCAGCCAGTGAGCGGGAACCGGTCTGTACGTGGGATCCGAACCCTCGGGCGGGATCCACCGGGCTGGCCCCCTATCCTACTCTTAATGAGACAAATTCCTCGAGGGCAGGAGGAGTTTAATACATGGTGACTGCAACCCTCGGTGTTGCTCCCGTGCCTCACTCAGCCAGTGAGCGGGAACCGGTCTGTACGTGGGATCCGAACCCTCGGGCGGGATCCACCGGGCTGGCCCCCTATCCTACTCTTAATGAGACAAATTCCTCGAGGGCAGGAGGAGTTTAATACATGGCTTCCTTCACACCAATCCCATGAGGTAGGTGACGTTATTGCCGTTTTCTAGGCGAGGAAACAGGCTTAAACCTTGTAAGTGGTGAAGCTGGGGAAGAGAGGTCCTCAGAAGACCCATTCTTCCTATCCTGACCTCTGTCCTGTCTCATTTCTGGGAAGCAGGATGAGAACACAGGCCCACACTGGGCTTGACCGTGGGATTGTGTCACCATCTAGTGGCTGCTGTAAGTAACACAGCATCTCCTCAAACCAGTCCCTCTAAGTGATGACAGATAAATCTGGTCTTGAGAGAAACATTTGTGAATGCTGAACCTAATGCCATATACTATAGCTCCCTGGGGGCTCTGAAGACTCGGAGGTCCCTGACTGCCTCCTGCTTTCAGAGCCAAAGTGAGCACCATTCTAAGTGATGACAGATAAATCTGGTCTTGAGAGAAACATTTGTGAATGCTGAACCTAATGCCATATACTATAGCTCCCTTGGGGCTCTGAAGACTCGGAGGTCCCTGACTGCCTCCTGCTTTCAGAGCCAAAGTGAGCACCAGGCAGTGTGAGCCTTACCTACCTGTTACCACTGGAGGGGGTGCAGCCTGCTTCAGTGCTGAGGCATGTGAGTCCAGCTAACCAGCTAATGCATGCGCTGGCCCACACAGTGTCCCAGTAAATGCAATGTTGTACCTTGTGTGGGGTGCTAAACTCCCAGTTTGCTCCCCACATCATCAATGTCATGAGCATCCCTTCTGGGAATGCCAGTTGTCTCCAGCCCCAGCATGCCAACCTTGCGGTCCTGGGACAGCACTTCAACCCAACACACACAAGGTCAAGAGTGAGTGCCCCTTAAATTCTGCACCCACCCACTGTGCCAAGCCCTAACAAGAATGAGCACAGGCACCGCTGGCAAAGAAAATCTGTATTGGTGCTGATGGGCAGCATGGAGGTCAGATGGAAATGCCTAGAGCCAGACTGGCATGGAGCAATCCAAGACCTGGGGTGGCAGGAGCAGATGCATCAGGAGCACTGGGTAGGAAGGGGGCTGCAGGTGGCTCCCAGCCATTGCACCTGCAGCAGCTGCTTGAATGAACCAGCAGTGCCCTAATTTCTTGCTGGTCTTTTCACCCTGGCATCTGTGCTCAGGGCATAGTCCTTTTCCTGTGTCCATTGTCTACTTTATTCCTACAGTAGAGCTAGCATACAGTGGGCACTCGGTAAGCATCGGCATTTCACTTAACACACACACTGGTATATTTAGTCATCCCCTTCTCCAGCACTGGCCCTGAAGTCATTTTCCACGGAGGTCATTGGGGCTGGGACCAGGGTAAAGCAAGGGAGGCATGTGACTCTCAGGGTTGGCAGGTGCATGGGGCCAAGAGAGGGGCCCCTTACAGTGCTGCACCAGGGAAGCTCTCCTGCCTCATCCTAGTCCTGGCCTGGAAGAACAGCAGTAATGCTTTATGCAAGGTGGGCAAGGGAGTTCTCAGCAGGATCAAACGGAGGGTGGAGGAGGCTCCAAGTTGGGGAGATACAAAGGGACAAAGAGAGGCTGGGCCCTTCTGAATCAGGGTGAGATCCCCGCCTGTAAGTCCAGGCTGATTACAGAGATTCACATTTGACATGGGAAGGAGAGAAGCGCCTTTTCCAGGCCTTGGCCCTTTCAAGCCTCCTGTCTTGGAACAAGCAGGAGTCTGAGCATCTCCTTCCCTTACTAATGTGGAGACTCCACTCAGCTCTGATGCCCATCACTTCTGCTCGCAGCTTCTGAGCTCAGGCCCTGGAATCTTCCATTTCCTCATGCTTGACAGTCCCTTCCCATGGAGAATCTCCTGTAACTTTAGCAGTCCTATGGGCTGGGCTGAGTTGGCTGGTGTTAGATCAAGAGGCTTTGCCTCACCCATCTATGGAAGTTTCGATTGTTCTGCCCACGGGAGCAATCTGGGGACCCAGCGGGGACCCTCCATGCTTCTCTCCCAGTCAGGACCTCATATTTCTTTGTACCTGCATGAAGAGGAGAGAGGTGATGGAAGAGAAAAGTGAGACACGATAAGCTTCTGCCCAGACAGTGGGGAGAGGGAAGGAAGGTCCCTAGGGTCCCTTAATAATTGCCTGCCTTCTCTGCTCTCTATAGTTAGGGCTCCCTTTCACCTCTTGGGCAGGGAGTAGCAAGGCAGAATAATATAAAAAACCTTACAATGTTTATGCCATATTTGACAGGTTTACAAAGCTAATCACCTATGCCATCTCATCTCAGCCTCAGATCAACCCTTCCAGGTAGATAGGGATAAGCTTCCTTGTGTATACATAAGGATGCAGCGGGACAGAGAATCTGGGTGGAATGCCCAAATTCTCATAGATGAGTGTGCAGAGAAGTCGGGGTTGTTCAAGGGCTTTGGATTCCAAGCCCAGCACTCTCTCTGCTCTAGCAAATCGCTGCACTTCCCACACACAGGCCTTCCACAAAGAAGGACCAGCCTGGGTGGCAGCAGTACGGAGAAAAGCAAACCAGCCCACAGACCCAGGTTCAATGTGAGGTTCTGCCAGGACAGGCTAAAGGCCTTAGGCATATTCCATGAGTTTTGAGCCTCTGTCCCCTCATGTCTAAGTGAGAATATCTACCTCCAAAAGTTGCTGAGAGGTAAGCCCGGGTATCTAAAGCTGGACTCAATTCCAGGCACAGAGTAGATGCTCACTAAATATTTGTTCTTTCCCCTCCCAGTCTCCCCTCGGGCCAGGTGCAGAGGAGCATAGGCGGGAGGCAGCTGAGCCCTGCTGTCCAGTCCCCTGCCCCTCCTCTGTGAAGGCTTCCTGCTGTCAGCGCTTCTTCCTGCTCTCAGTTTTCTCCCTGGATGATGCCTTCCTTAAGGGAAAGGGTGTTATTCTTCACATTTACCATTCAGCCCAGGTCCGCAGCTCCAGCCAGCTCCTCATTAGCAAGAGGCTAACACTCAGAGGGAGAGCCAGAAAGGCCGTGGAAGAGGGTTGCTCGATGACCAGCACCAGCACCAGCCTCAGCCTTTGCCCAGTCACTAACCCATTTGTGCCACCACCACCCCCAACCACCACTGGACAGCAGGCAGAGAGCACACCAGGCTAGCCACCCACACTTGATTCGAATTTTGTTTCAGAGGCTTTGATTGGTAGTTGCTTTCTTCCGCATACCCCAGGCAGAGAGGCCAGATGACCTTGGTTTCTGAACTTCAGGAGCATTTGCAGCTCAGTCTGAGTTCAGAGGGAAAACGATTTCCCCATCTTTGCCTTCTCTGTCTCAGGAGGGTATGTCCAAAGCTCTAACAGTCTCCCTCAGGGAAAGAGGCTGCCAACCTCTGGCACCTCAGACTCCTTGGGAAACATTCCCCAAACACCGTGCTCTGCTGATTTGAGAGGCTTTGGACCTGAACCCCAAGAAAAAAGAGAAAGTTGGAAAAAAATGACACTGGAGGAAGGAGGACTTGCATGCAGCACTGTTCTAATGGCACATTAGTCACATTGAAGAAAATACTCACAAAAGTCATGGGAGTTGAGGAAAAAACAATCACGGGTGGGTTAGGGCCAGATTAGAGCTATGGAGACACATGGGACAACAGAGGACAGGTTAGCAGGGGTAGGGGGGCTGGGGAGCAGGTTCATACAGCACATCCAAGGTCAGGCTCAGCAGTCCTGAGGTCCAGGTGGACCAGCCTCAGACTGGGTTTAGAGAAACTGAGCATTGGTTGATTCCCATAAGAAGTGAGGTTGGGAGAGGCGGGGCTTCAGCTCTCTGGAGGACTCACCCTGTGTCTCTGTTCAAGGACACCTTCCAGGCCAGGATCTCTTTGTACACCAACCGGCAGAGGAGCTGTGGGGAGTCCAAGGCACGGAAGGAAGGGAGGGAACCATTAGCATGGAGCACATGGGACCCAGTGTCAGGTGACCAGGGACTGGCAGTTGAGAAGGGGTAGGCACATGGTTTCATGTGGCAGAGGGTCCCCCATGAGAGGTGAAGTGGTTCTGAGAAAAGAGCAGCTATTCTCACTGTCGCAGACCCCCAATGGCCACACTTTGGACCTCCAGGGTTCCAGCCTGGCAGGACAGAGCATCCCCCCAATACCCATCTGTGTACCCCAAGGACTCCTACCAAGCAGGCCAGGATATCAGCAGTGATGAGCATGTAGAAGACATTGTTCCAGCCTGTGGGGGAAATGAGCCCAGCCAGCAGAGGCCCCAGAGCTGCACCTGCAGGAGCACAGCCTCATGGGAGGGGATCCAGCGCTTCCCTGCCCACCCGGGGCAGCATCCCAAGGGGTCCACCCACAGCAAAGCTCAGGGCTCAGCTACCAGGAGCGAAAAGCTAGAGTCACCAACCTACGGAACCGGTGCCATCGATGATGGCTGAGACGGTGGACAGGGCCTTGGCATTGCCCTTCAGGCTTTTGTGAGTACCCTGGGGAGACAGAGCAGAGGGGGAGGCTCAGCAGAGCAGCAGCACCGTGTGGGACCCGGAGAGGGGCGGATTCGGGGGAAGGTGGTGGCTGGGGCTGGGGATTGAAAGAAAAGAGGGGCTTATGGTGGGTTCTGCAGGACAGGAGGTGAGGAAATGGACCTGGAGACAGAGGCCCTTATCAAGCCCCCAGAGCAGCCTCTCAGGAGGCAGCCCCACTTACCAGATCAGCGGAGACAGCAGTGGTGATGAGTGCGTAAGGGCCATTGACCAGCGCCCCACAGACGATCAGCATCACTGAGATGGCAGCAGAGACAGTTGGGCAGATGTGAGGGCCCCCCGCAGCCCCAGCCCCACAGTAGGCGGTGGGTACCCCCAGGCCTCAGGCCATCCTGGTCCCACCACCCATGCCCCCACACCAGCCTCATGGGGCCCCTGGAGCGGTGCCTTTCCTGTGGCCTCCTCACCTGTGGAGCTGATAATCCCATTCTGGCCAAAGTAGTCATACAGGAACATCTGAGAGAGGACAGGGAGAGGCAGTCACACCCAGGCTTCCCCACGCTAGACTGGAGCCCTGAAGTCTGGAACAGCCCTCTCCCGCCCTGGAACCCCAGAGGTCATCTTATTCCTTCTTCCCTCTCACACCAGACCTCTCAGGTCTTTAAATGTCCAGGGGATGGAAGATCTAAAACATGGCCCCCCAAAAAAGTTCTCTCCTATCCATCCCAACCTGTTTCCTTGGTCAAGAAATTTAGCAACTGGTCACCCCTTCTCCACCACGGCCAAGTAGTCACTAATCCCTTTCCAAAATTCTCAGTCTGGATCTCTTTCCAAGGCCCCTGCTCCCCTGGTGACCCTCCCTTCTCCCCCTACATGTGCCCAGGGTGCACATACACGTGTCCAAAGAGACAGACATGTGTAGATGCACAGACGGGCGCGCAGCTCAGAGCCCACACAGGCGCCTGCTCACAGGCACGTGCTTTGCCCTTGAGGTCATACATACCATGGGGGCAGCCAGGATCAGCATGATACAGCAAGTGGTGGCCCTGCCATTGGTGTAGTCAGAGATGAGCCCTGCCGTGATGCCGCCTGAAACACACACTCACTCACATACTGCCACCCCCGTGGGCCCAAGCCACCCCTCGCCTTGCACCCAGAGCTGCCCCGTCACCCTGTCCAGCGCTGGCCTGGGGCTGGCATCAAGAACCAGCAGAGCTTCTCCCTCTGCAGCCCTCCTCTGGCCCCATCACTGCAAGAAGACCAAACACGAGGGCCATCTTCTTAGGCCCACCCAGGTGGGCAGGAGCAGAATTGGGAACAAACCAGAGGGAAAGGCACCCTACTGGCAGAGCAGGGCAGGGCCTCACCTATGATGCCACCAACATCAAAGAGCGTAGACAGGTCTCCAGCCTCCTTGGAAGTAAAGTGAGCTGTGGAAAACACAAGTACGTGGTCAGACCTGGGGGCTCAGGACAAACATACTGGAGGGCCACTGCCAGAAGAACCCCTGCAGGGCACTGACCCAGTCCTGCTGCTGCCTCTCCAGAGGAAGGAGCTGAGGGCCACAGGCAGTGATTGGCCAGGGTCACATAGTGAATCCACTGTAGTTTGGGACAGACACCCCGTCTGGCCCCTGGCTCACCTCCTCTGCAGAATGACCTTGACCTCTCAGAACAGCCCCTCTCCTGCAGGCCCTGGGATCTGGTGCTGTGGGCCATCTTTCCACAAACATGCTCTCACTGAGCTCAGCCCTCGGCCCAGCCAGCCACCTTCTGCTCCATCCTGCCCCAGCAGCTGCCCCCACCAGGAGCTACTCCCACCCTCCTCAGGCCTCTGCTGATAAACAGAGGCAGGAAGGAGACTTACAGGAGAATAGGGACCTCGGGTCACAGGCCTTGGATCTGGATTTAGAAAAAGGAACATCCAGAAGCTTGAATTTTAGCCCCACCCTCCAGGCTGACTAACACTTGAAGTCAGCACCAATACCATAAAACAATCACAGTGTCCTGGAAACCACCCTAGCACCGCCACTATCACAGAGAGAGGCTCCTGGCTAGAGCTGCAGAGCAAGCGCCTGCTGGAGATGTGGCCATGACTGATTCCATCTCCCGTTCAGAGCAGGCACCGTGTGTGGCCAGGGCTGCGGGGAGGGAAGCTGTGCTGGGTGAGAGGCCCTTTGCCCTGGTTGGGTTTTGAGGCTCCCGAGGCGGGGGAAGGTAAAGCGGGCTGCTCCTTGGTTGAGAACCCCACCTATGGAAAAGTAGAAACTGAGACGAGGTGGACAGGAAACATACTTTTACCACCATGAATGTGACCTCCCCTCATCTGTACATCCTTGGGTGGGGCAGGGAGAGAGGCTGGAGAGAGTAGATACATGAGATGGGGCAGGAGCCCCAGTGCAGCCCTGCACACCCAGGCACAAAGGCATCGAGTCTGTGAAGTCCCCTTGAGAGAAGAGCACCATGTTCACCTCCAGGCTACAAGGAGCGGGGGAGCCCGCAAGGCCCTCTCGCTCAGGCTGGGGGAGGTGGTCAAAAGGCAGACCTTCTCTAGCACTTCCCAACCCCACCACCTCAGAGCCAAGCAGCCTGGAGGGGGTTCTCCCCTTTAAAGGCTGGAGAAGAAGGTGGGGAGGATTGCAGAGCAGAGGTGGGTCCCTGATCCCCGACTCAGTTCCAAGGGAGGGAAGGTGGCTGGAGTCAGGGTCTAGGGGTAGTGTACAGGGTTTAGCTTCCATTTCAATAAATAACTAAATAAATCTCCTTTCACCCTAGGAGAGGTTCAGCAGAAATCCTGCCTGTGTGCTGGAATCACATGCATCACCTCGATGGGCCTCCTGTCCCACCAGAGATGGCCTTGGCCTCCTCGGAGCCATTCCCTCTCGCCTCTTCACTCCTTGTACTCACCCACGTTGGCGATGTAGAGGGGCAGCCAGTAGAGGAAGGTGTAACTGACCAGCTTGGCGAAGAGCAGACACAAGGAGAACTCGATCACACCCTGGGGAGCGTAACAGAGGCACATGGAAAGGGGCCCAAGGGAGCCTTGGTCCAGTGGCGGCCCCAAGGGGTGGCCTAGCACCTCTCCAGTACTTTCCACCACCTCCACACAAAGCAACCGCAAGTACACATCCAGTTCCAATAAAAGCAACGTGCCTGCTGTTCACTGTTGTTTCAAGACGAAGCTCCCATACCACCTCCCCAAGCAGGCCACCCACCCTACATCTCCTGTAAAGAAATCCTGGAAACCATAGATCACCCCAAACACTGCATCTCCTCATATCCAACAGAAAAATCTAGAGAGCCCCTCTCCTCCCTCCATTCCATAAACTTCTCACTGGGATCTTGAGCGCCCCAAGGAAGCTGATGGCAGTGGGCTCGGCGCATGGCTCCTTGGAACATCTGGGTGTAGTCTCAAGGCTGTTCTCCCTGTTAGAGTAGGGACCAATCCCAGTGTCCTCAGAGTTGTCCTGGTCGTCATCTGGCCCATTCTGAGCAGAAGAGAGGAGCCCTTGCTGTGGGCACATCCATGCACCACCTCCTCCCAGCTGGAGGGATGGCCCAGAGGAGAGACACGGGACTCCCAGGCAGGAAGAGGTACATGTCTCTCTCCTGGGTTGGACCAACCTCCTGCCAGGCTCATGGCACTGGGGGAGAGCCAACCCAAGGGCCCAGTGTTTGTAGGTCTGTGAAGAAGTAGCTGTGGCCCACAGGCCTCCCCTCCAGCTCCCTAGCCCCTCTGGGTGGAGTGGGAGGCAGGTGTGGGGCTGGGAGCGCTCACACTCACATTGTGCTGGGGAGGGCTGCAGTCCACATCTTCTGGGTCAGCCTCCCCTCCAGCTCCCTAGCCCCTCTGGGTGGAGTGGGAGGCAGGTGTAGGGCTGGGAGCGCTCACACTCACATTGTGCTGGGGAGGGCTGCAGTCCACATCTTCTGGGTCTGAAAAAAGAAACTTTTTAAGAAGCTTCCTGACAGACCAGGCCCTCACCTTGCCCTGGATCTAAGCCGGTCCAGGGGTCCAGCCCCACCCCAACTCTCAGGGTGGCCAGTGCGTGTCCCAGCATGAGGCAGCAGGAATCCGGATCAAAGTAGACCAGGTTTGGGGCCTGGCTCTCCTGACAACCAGCTGTGTCACTACTGCCTCTTGGACTTTAGTTCTCTTACTCACAGAGTGGCTATAATGCCTGGCCTTGCTAACCCACAAGGCTGTCAGAGCATGGGGAAGGCCACAGCTGTCTGTGCCAGTGTAAGAGACTGTTCACTGTGAGAAGTCCCTTCTCTCCACCTCTGCCGTGCATGCCTCTCAGACTAACTGAGCACCTAGTGTGAGGCCAGGCATTTTAACTATACCATCTCATTTAAACCTGCGGAAATCCTATGAAGTGGATATTATTATTTTGCAAATGAGAAAACTGAGGCTCTGAGAGTTTATTTGTCCAAAGTCACACACAGCTGGTCCTCCAAGTCCATGGCCAGTGATCTTTCCAGTACATCCAGCTGCCTTTTCCCAGAAAGAGAGAACTGCGAGGCTCACATATGGAGTGTGTGGGGACAGAAGGGTCCACTCACATTCGATGAGGAAGAGGAAGGTGATGATGCCCATCGCAGCAGTGATGGCCCCGGGCACAATAAAGGACAGGCCCCAGTGCCCGTTCACCCAGACGCCTGCGATCAAGGAGCCCAGGATGTTGCCCACGGATGTGTGGGAATTCCAGACGCCCATGATGAGCCCCCGCCTGGAGGGGAAGGTGGGAGGTGGGGAAGGAAAGGGGAGAAGGGTAGAAAAAGTCAAAAGAGATGCGTACTGCCAGTGTCCCGGCCAGGCTTGGAAAGCTGGCTGCCTGTGGCCTCCATGAGGAGCCGATGACCGAGACTTTCAAAGCCCCAAAGACACAAGTCAGGGAGGAGGGGGAGGCCTTGGCTAGTGACAAGCAGAAGACAGCAAGGCCTGGGGTCCTATGCCCCATGCCCAGCTCCCGAGCAAGCACAGCCGGGAGCTGTCACCACACTGAGGGCGCAGGCCCCTGCCCCCTCTCTCCCTGTCTGCCCCGCTCTCTCGCTCTAAAGCCATGGTCTGTGGATTGTAACAACTCAGGGTGTGCTACTAGCATCCAGTAACTAGACACTGACTGGGATTGCTGCTAACATCCTACAATGTGGGGGCAGTCCCCAACACAAGAACTTAACAGCCCAGGAGGTCAATAGAGCCAAGGGTGAGAGACCCTGCTCAAAAGCAACCTTCTTTGTGCTAGAGGCAGTTCGAGAAAAAAAAAAAAAAAAACAGTTTTATAGGCATCTTTTTGTCTTCACTCAGAATGGAACTGCCCCTCAGCTGAGTGAATGGCACCACCATGCACCTGGCCACTCAAGGCAGGCCAGGGAACTACCTCCGTCTTCTGTCCCCCAGCCCCCACATTCCATCTCTGATTGCCCCTCAGCTGAGTGAATGGCACCACCATGCACCTGGCCAATCAAGGCAGGCCAGGGAACTACCTCCGTCTTCTGTCCCCCAGCCCCCACATTCCATCTCTGAGACCCACCCATTCCACCTCTTCCATACTTTGACCCTTTTTCACCTTTGTCACCACTGTTGTCACTCAAGCTCTTCTCCTCTTGGGCTGTTGTCATATCTGTCCCTTAGCAGAACCAGTCCTCACTCGCTCAAATCTACCTCAGCATCGCTCTCAGAGTGATCTATCCAAAATGTAAATCTGAACATGATACTGTAGGGAAAACCCTTGAGTGACTGGCTTATGCCCACAGCCTGGCCCTGGGGCCCTCTGCAAGTGACTTCATCCTCCAGCCCTGTCCCTTGCTCCTCCCTCTGAGTGCACACACTGGCAAACCTGCCAACAGCTCCTGCCAGGGATCGCGCTGTTCCACATCGCCTTACTTTGCGTGTGCTATTCCTTCTGCCTGGATCCCTTTCTCCACTGCCCCCCCCAAGACCTCTTTATCACTCTAAGTACCGTCTCATCCCAGAAGCCTCCCCAGACCCTCTTCATCAATCCCAGCCTGGACTAAGTGACTGTCTGAACTCCCAGAGCACCTGGTGGCCACCCCTATCATAGAGCCACCTCACAGTTTTGTCATTAGCTGCTAAGATATTGGTCATCCCTGCTAGGCTGTGAGCTCTCTGAAGGCAGTACCTTGCCTTATCAAGTTTTGATTCCTGGCAATGAGCACCACACTTGCTATGTAAAAACCATGCTGACTGTGCTGGTTTAGACGCAGCACAGGATGGGGTTTCCTGGCCATCTCTGTATCCAGGGTCATCCTGGAAGGATCCCAGTCCAGGACAAACCATATTCCATCTGCGCCCACCAACACTGAGTTTTCCAGGAAAAAGAGTTACTAACACTGGGAATCTACCAGGCGAGGGGGCAGTCTGGGCAAGCGTGGTAAGGAAAGGAGGAAGGTCGTGAGCTTAGTGTGCGTGCAGAAGTCTTGTTATAATTCCCACCTGGGGGGCCATCAGCTTTCCCCAGGTTAGCTAAGCAGAGGCAGCAGCTCGGAAGCGCCCTCCTCTGGATGGTCACAGGCTCTGCCTCTGTCATTACCTGATAAACATGCCGATGGCATAGGCCACGAGGAAGGCATCGTCCACACCCCCCAGTAACTCACTGTAGTTGTCCTTGTCTGAAAGCAGATGGGAGAGACAGAGAGCTGGCTGCTGGGCTGCACCTGCAGGAAGCCCTTTCTGGCTCTGGACAACCCCTCTTGAGGACGAGGGAACGGGGAGTGGAGAAGAGCAATCTGCCCTGCTCTTACCAAATGGACTCCAGCTGCACCATGTGGTGTCATTGAGACTATGGGTGTCATTGATGGGTATGATGATCTCTGAGCAGTTCTGGTGCAGACGGTTCTGGAGGGGCAATAGGATGCACAGGTCAGAGGTCAGCTCACTCAGCCCAAAGGGGAGCAAGCAACCTCCCACTCCAACCTTCCCAGCACCACTGCTCCCCACCGGATTCCACGTTCCTTCCTGCTGGCACCTCCTCCAGTCAGCAGCAGCTGACTGCCAGGAAAAGTGCCCACGTCAGACCCTGAGCAGAACCAGACAGTAAGGTCCCTGCCCTCTTATTTCACCCACACTCCCGACACTGCTGTCTTGGTGAATAAACTCAAAAGGAGAGCCTAGGGAAACCCTCCTGGAAGAAAGAGCTACTAAAAGTGGCTGTCTGCCAGAGTGAAGGAGCAGTGTTGGTGACCATGGTAAGGGACTACAGGTGGCTGTGGACAGAGGTCCAGACCATTCTTCTCAAATGTGTTTCTGCTGGGGCAGCATGTCCTGCATTCTTCGTTAGGGCCAGCCCAGCCTCACCTTGACGACACTGATGGGCTTCCTGGACATGTGATAGCAGGTATAAATGAGGAAGGTCATCAGCAGAACGGAGCCTCGGAACCTGCCGGAGAAAATGGGCATCTGGGTCAGCAGGATGTCCGGCCCCAGCTGGAAGTTCTCGCCACTTTCCCACCCATGCCCACTCTGGCAGCCCCAGGGCCTTGGCACCAATTCTTCACCTTCAGGCTCCCCTTCCAGACACAAGCTCCTCAGGGCAGAGGCCAAGGGGAGGCTAGGAGCAAATTCCCAGAGGCCAGGGGGCTCAAAGGGACCCATTGCCTTGGTCCCAATTCCTGAGGCTCAGCACCAGTAACCTTTGGGAAAGCACCTCTCCTGCTCTGGCCACCTTCATCCCCTTTGCTGTTCTCTGGCCTCACTAAGGCAAGGGTGCCTCTGCGCATGTGCGTGTGTGACAGAGATGGGCCAAGGAGTTAGAACCGCTTTTATTTTTTATTTATTTATTTTTTTAAAAGATGACCGGTAAGGGGATCTTAACCCTTGACTTGGTGGTGTCAGCACCAGGCTCTCCCAGTGAGCGAACCGGCCATCCCTATGTGGGATCCGAACCCGTGGCCTTGGCGTTATCAGAACCACACTCACCCGAGTGAGCCACGGGCCGGCCCTAGAACCGCTTTTAAAGTGTCAGAAACAACGGGGCGGGGTGAGTGGAGGCTGAAGAGGGAGAACGGTCTGTCTTTAAAGTGAGGTCAATACTCCCCTTAAGCTTAGGACACAGCAGACAGTGTCTGCTTCAGCCCAGACCCTAGTTGGAAGGGAATCAACAGTGAGACGGCTGGTGACAGAACCAAGTTCTCTTTCTAGTCCCAGACTGGTCCATTCTACAGGACAGAAAGCTCATTCTTTCCAGCTGTGGCTCACATATCACATGTGCCGCTCCCACCCCCCAGGTCCCGTCTCATGCACTGCTCTGGGGTGGAAAGAACAGTCGAGTCATGCACCACTCAAAGTTTCCACTGCATGCAGCCCCTTCCCCTCTTCTGAGGGCCTGGAGAAGGGCCTTCAGTGCCCTCCTGAGTCACTGTCGGCTTCCTCAGCAGGCGTCAGCTGAGCTGGGTCAGCTGCCGGCACAGGAAGTACACAGAAAATGACTTCAGAATGAACCCCCAGTCCAGGAGAAAGGGCCGGGCATGAGGGAAAAGGTAGGAGGGGCCCCAAAGCCCTTCCGATCCCTGGCTCCTGCTGCCCTCTAGGAATCTGCTTCCGAACCCCAAACTCTCTTCCCAAAGACGGGTCATGATGCAATGCAGGGTAGTACTTGTGAAATAAAGGGGGTACTTCAGCAAAGCCTGAATTTGGATTGGGCTACGAGGCCCCCTCTCACTCCACCCCTGGACTTGAGCTTCCTGCCTGGGTCTCTGTCTCCACGCTCTCCATTGCTCCAGTTAATCTTCTTAAGAGAAGAGTTACACATGCCTCCCTATTACTTTCCTTAAAAAATGTCAGTGCCTTTCCGTTCCATCAAGAGTGAAGTCCTAACTACGTACTCTGCATTCTGCACTGCTCTGTGACCCAGCCTCTGTGGCACCACTTCCTGAAGGCTCATGGGTGGATCACAGAAGTCCTCTAGGGACTGAGTCCTATATGGTGACTGACATGGGCAAGGTTGGTAGCAGCTGTGTTTTCCGGGTTCCACCAATTGCCGTATAGCTCAGGACTAGTGCGGGTACTTCTGGAATCTGAGGAAAATTCTCTGAATTTGGAGAGCATGCTCAGCTGGCCTTCTGCAAAGAGCAATAGACAAAAAACTACAGCCCTACAGATAACACCAACCCAGTGCCCTGCAGGGCTGGTGTTATCTGTAGGGCTGTAGTTCAGGGCAAAAGCGCTGGGTTGGTGTTATCTGTAGGGCTGTAGTTCAGGGCAAAAGCAGAAAGCTTTGAGTGAAGCCTCTCACTAATTTCTGGGTCACCTCACACAAGTTCCTAAGCCTTTTTGCCTCTGGTCTCTTCATCAGCTGCAACGTAGATGACAGCATCAACTCCGTCTATCTCACAAGGTAAGTGAGCACAGGATTTCTCTCACCCTAGTCCGTAGGTCCCTGGTGGTACCATCTTTAACAAGGTCAGAAGCTCAGCTGAGCCAGCCTTGGCTGACCACATGGATATGCCAGGGCCCTTGCCAGGATGTGTGGCCATCCGCTATGGTGATGAATCAGATCCTCTCTGAGTCTGAAAGATCCTCAGAGACCCGATGCCCCACTAGGGCCCCTATGACTGTTCTTCCATGACAGTGAGGCTGATGCCAGCTACGGAGCCTGATATTGACTGGGAAGCCAGGCTTCGCCTCAGCAGAACTGCTGAGCCCTCTCAGGAGCTTATCAGTGCCAATGAGGGGCTCAAAGAGACACCCAGCTGCCAGCAACACTTCCCTCCCACCCCCACTCCCCACCCACACATTGCTTGAACGCCAAGTGCAGGACCTGCCCACCCTTCCCTGTCTTTCTCCTGCCTGAGGTCCCAGGTGTACTTCCTTATCTGCTCCATGCCTCTTTCATCTGGAGTCTTGTCCCTCCCAACCCTGGCTGGAAGGAGCTGTGCCAGAAGGGCAGAAACACTCATGCCTATTTCTAATGTCCCGACTCCCTTTGGCAGAAGCCAGACTGCTGTCCCGCCCACCAGGTGCCCACTACGTGCCAGTCACCGTGCTGAGAAGCCAGCAATAGCGAGAGAAGTCCTCAGAAGGACCTCTGCCCTCCTGGAGCTCACAGGTCAGCGGGGAAGTGGACAGTTAGTATTGGTGCAACAGTGCTATAAAAGAGGGCGTCCTTGTGGCAAGAAAGCACAAGTGAGGGATACCGAGCCCAGCGGGATGGAAGCAGTGTCTGGGAAGGATTGCTGGAGGTGAGGCTTCAGTTGCATCTTCAAAAACAAGCAGGAGGTGGCAGGGCCGACCTGGGTGGGGGTGAGGGGATGTGCCAGGGAGCAGGAACAGTGTGTGCAAAAGCACAGAGGTATGAAATAGCACTGCCTGTTTGGGGAACTCCGCCTCCTTCGAGATATCTGGAAAGTGGGACTGAGCCCAGTACAGAAGGAGGGGGACTGGGAAGGAGGCAGGGGCCGGGACACGCAGGGCCTCAGGTGCCCCACCGTGGAGTTCAGGCTGTCTCTTGAGGGTGATGGGAGCCGGCGAAGGGGGCCGAGATCTCCTAGGTCGGGCTGCTTTGGGCACCATCCAGGCTAAGTCAGGTTAAGGCCCAGGGCTCCAGCCTGTTCATTTTGGGGGGAAGCCTGAAGGGCAGGGCCAGTTCCCTGTGCCTTATCCATCCTGCCAGCCACTCCTGGCATGTGGTAGCATCATGGGGGACTCTAAGTGGTTGGTATATTTCAAGGAGTTAAGCTCTATAGGAGGAAACAGCAAAGACTTAGGAATCAGTCAAAGGCTGCTTTTATTTTTTAAATCTGTTTGCTCATCTGAAAAGCCGAGTTTATAACCTTTCTCATAGAACTACTGACAGTTTAGTGAGATGATGTATATAACGTCTTATGTCATTCCTGACACCCAGTGTGTACTTAAAAGTGACTAGTATTGTTTCGGATTTTCAGATGAGAAGAAGAGCTGGAGGGGCTGAGGCAGCCTGTGCTGCTCTGTTGGGGGAGCCGAATGGGGTCGGGGGCTGACACCAAAGTTCTCCGGGTAGTGGAGGTCCCAGGCCCTGGATTCACCTGGGAGGTAAGAGATGTGGATACCAGCATGGCCTCTCCTCTCCACCGTACCTGCCTGGGTCTAGATGGACACAAAGATCCTCTGAAGCTACTAGTGCCCGACCTTTCCTGGGGGTTTGGGAGCCTAAGGGGAGCCTGCAATGGTACAGAGCAGATTCCAGTGACCCCTATGAGCTCCTCAGGGCAGGCTGGAGAATCTGTAGAGGTCCACACTGGCATCCTGACCTGCCAGATTTCAGCCCTGCCCTCTTCTCCAGCTCTGACACCAACCCCCAATAGAGAACCTGACATCCAAGTCAGCAGCAGAGTCCTGGGGGTAATGTGCTGTGTGATGCCAGGCCTGGCACTGGCCCCCTCTGGGACCTCCTGCCTGGACTCCAGGGGATGGAGGAACGAGCTCAAAGTCACTTGCCAGCTGGGCGCAGCACACTCGGAGCTGGTCCGCCTCTTAGTCCGGTGCTCTTTCCATTCCACTTTGTCAGGTATTCTGAGGAAAAGACCAAGGTGCCATAGTTCAAAGGGGACTGATGACATTGGTCATGTTAAGGGCTAGGCTAGGCTGAGGCCAAGGGTGCCAAACTTACAGGAACTCACAGGAAAGATCTGATGTGCTCCTGCAGCGTGAAGAACCCACCGGTTTCACTTCTCTTTTCACAAGCCCTTCCCTCATGAATCAAGAGGCCCCAATAGGGGAGCAGGGGACACATGTGCACAGCAGGCCCTGCCTGGCCAGCCCCAGGATGGCTGTGGGGGGAGAGATGGAGGCCCAGGCTGGGCGAGCAGACCAAGGAGCAAAGGACATGTGGGGCAAGGCCCCAACTGCTCCAGGTGGGGCTGGCTGCCCCATGACCCTCTAAGTCTTTGTTAGCAAGAGGTAGCACTTCCTAGAGTCCCACCTCCCCCAACCTGATACTGGTTACTGAATAACCAAGTCAGATAGAAAGGTGGACGAGCTATGTCTTAACTATTAGCTGACGGTCTAACTTAGTCTTTCAAAGGAGCACAGTAATATCTTTATTGGTACTGTTAAGGCTTCGCAGTAGGAATGCTTCTGGGGCAGGAACAAGAACAGTATGTCCCAAAGCGGCATCAGACAAAAACCAGCCAAGAAAAAACCCCAAAGGACCTACTACCACCACCACTACAACAAAACGGCAGCAAGAGATGGCACAGCAGAGGGATGCTGACATCAGGAGATGGTAGAAACGGGCCCCTTTCCCAGGTGGCTACCTAGTCATCCCGCAGTCCCAGGAAACCCCAAAGGACCTACTACCACCACCACTACAACAAAACGGCAGCAAGAGATGGCACAGCAGAGGGATGCTGACCTCAGGAGATGGTAGAAACGGGCCCCTTTCCCAGGTGGCTACCTAGTCAT